GATTCTGCCATTGTTGCTCGAAATCCAAATCTAATTACTGGTACGCATCTCAAAAACCCTAAATTGATTTCGTGGATTATTGTTCCTTTTTTCCTACATTTATTGTTTTTTTTTTTATCTTGATCTCTCTGATCTCCTTCGCCATTATCGAGATCTCATCAATGGAAACTTTTGAGATTGGGTTTTATGATTTTTCCACTGAATTTTTTATTTTTCTCCATCTGGTTTTTCTTTTGTTATGCATTTGACGATAATGTTGAGAAAAAGGTGAATTTTTTTTTATTCACTAAATCTAAAATTCACTAAAAATGGTAATGTTTCTTCTTTTGGGAAATTTGTGATTTTTTTGATCTGCGAGATTTGTTTGCAGGTGGTTTTGATTTTACCGTAATTGAGCATTGCCTTTGAGTTTAAGCTACATCGTGATTTGATGTTTTGGTTCTGAATTTGGCATAATAAGAGTGGCTCATAAGAGTGGAAAAAACCTAGCCTTTAGTGGTTTAATCAGGTAATGAGACTAAGTACTTCAAAATTGGGACTTTGTCTCATGAGAAAGAGGAATTAAACAAAGAAGACGATAGGTTTGTGATATGAGAAGTCCTTGGTACAAGAGTGTTTCCTCGGTTTTTGGTCTCAGACCACGGATCAGAGGGTTGCTTTTCGTCGTTGTCGGTGTTGTGGCTCTACTTACTATATTAGCACCATTGACATCGAATACATATGATTCTTCTGCTGCTTCGTCGCTTGTCCCCAACATTTATAGTAACTATAGGAGGATAAAGGAGCAAGCTGCTGTTGATTATTTGGATTTAAGGTCTCTCTCTTTAGGTGCTAGTCTAAAAGAGTTTCCTTTGTGTGGTAAAGAAAGAGAAAGCTATGTGCCTTGTTATAACGTAACCGGAAATTTGCTTGCTGGGCTTCAAGAGGGTGATGAGTTAGATCGACATTGCGAGTTTGAAAGAGAAAAGGAAAGATGTGTTGTTCGTCCTCCAAGAGATTATAAAATACCGCTTAGGTGGCCACTTGGTAGAGATATTATATGGAGTGGGAACGTGAAGATAACCAAAGACCAGTTTCTTTCGTCAGGAACCGTGACAACGAGGTCCTTTCTTTTGACATACAGTTTCTTCAAATACAGTATTTGGTTTCTGGTTATATAATATATCTTTTTTTGCTTATTATCATTATTAGATTAATGTTGCTTGAAGAGAATCAAATTACCTTTCACTCAGAGGATGGCCTGGTCTTTGATGGGGTCAAAGACTATGCGCGTCAAATTGCTGAGATGATAGGCTTAGGAAGTGATACTGAATTTGCTCAAGCGGGTGTAAGTCTTCTTAATCTTATCAACCTACAAATCAACTTCCCAGCTCCAGCTTCTGAGATTTCCTCTGATTTCTTGTAGGTACGGACTGTGTTAGACATCGGTTGCGGCTTTGGAAGCTTTGGTGCACATCTTGTGTCTTTGAAACTGATGCCTATATGCATTGCTGAGTATGAGGCATCTGGGAGCCAAGTCCAGTTAGCTCTAGAGAGAGGCCTTCCTGCAATGATTGGCAATTTCTTTTCAAAACAGCTTCCTTACCCAGCATTGTCTTTTGACATGGTCCATTGTGCTCAGTGTGGCATTACTTGGGATATCAAAGGTAATTACATCAACATGTGTTGGTAGTGTGGTTCTTTGTCTTTAAATGTTGAGGTTGAAATCTGTGTAAATTTCATCAACATATGATGAAGATCTCTTTGTCCCTTAAACAGATGCAATGCTACTTTTGGAAGTGGATCGTGTTTTGAAACCCGGAGGCTACTTTGTTTTAACTTCTCCTACAAACAAAGCACAGGGAAACTTACCAGATACTAAGAAAACGAGCATCTCAACACGGGTTGATGAGTTATCTAAGAAAATCTGCTGGAGTCTAACAGCTCAGCAGGACGAGACGTTTCTTTGGCAGAAAACTGCAAAATCAAATTGCTATTCTTCTCGGTAAGTATGATGCTGAGGCATGTTCTTGGTATTGAAAGTTTAAGCGTTTGCTTTCCTCTACTGATGCGTTTATTTCTTTCCTGGTTGGTGTAGTTCGCCAGCTTCTATTCCTGTTTGCAAAGATGGAGATAGTGTTCCGTATTACCACCCACTGGTTCCATGTATAAGCGGAACCACGAGCAAACGTTGGATTCCTATTCAGAATAGGTCTGCTGTTGCAGGAACAACATCTGCTCTCGAAATTCATGGAAAGTATTTCTTTTGATTATCATTTCGTTGTTTTGTTTCATCGCCTCAATTTTCACTTGGTACTTTCAGAATTTAATAAAAATTTGGATATTTTGAATATTTCAGGTTTAAAACCTGAAGAATTCTTCGAAGATGTACAAATATGGAAATCAGCCCTTAGAAACTACTGGTCCTTGCTTACACCTCTGATATTCTCTGACCATCCAAAGAGACCTGGTGATGAAGATCCTCTCCCGCCGTTTAACATGATACGCAATGTGATGGACATGAATGCTCGTTTTGGTAATTTAAATTCTGCTTTACTCGACGAAAGAAAATCCGCTTGGGTGATGAACGTCGTCCCTGTCAATGCACGTAATACTCTTCCTATCATACTTGATCGTGGTTTCGCCGGTGTTCTACATGACTGGTAAGTGTGTTTTACTTCTGAAGTTCATGAACATTCACCTTTTAGATGTTAAAGCAACATGTGTGATAAGTTTATCAGCTTTCACCTGTAATGATGGTCGAAAAGAAGATCCTTTTAGATATTAAGTAACATTTGAAGCGAATTGAAGACTCAAAGGCGAATGCTTTTTTATCGAAATCCTATGATCAGATTCTCAAATATCTTTGTTTCGTTGTGCAGGTGTGAACCATTCCCAACATATCCCCGAACATATGACATGCTTCATGCAAATGAACTTCTCACACATCTTAGCTCCGAACGGTGCAGCCTAATGGACTTATTCTTGGAGATGGATCGAATTCTTCGCCCCGAGGTTCATATATAAACACCATTCATTTTTTTCTCCCCATAATAAGATCCCAAAAGAAGCAACTAAAAAGGACTTGACCATTGTGTGATTGATTTAATAGGGATGGGTTGTTCTAAGCGACAAATTAGGAGTAATCGAGATGGCTCGTGCACTTGCAGCTCGAGTGCGGTGGGAAGCACGAGTAATCGATCTTCAAGATGGTAGTGACCAAAGACTTCTTGTCTGTCAAAAACCATTTCTCAAAAAATAACTCAAAAGCAACATATATGCTTCTTTCACCATAAACAACACTCACTACACACAGTCTTTTCACCGGTAAGTTCTCTCTTACTTTGGTCTAAATCAAATCCTGAGCTTCCAAAAAAAAATCAATCTTGTAATTATATTCAGTTTGTTCTAAACAGATCCAAATTATGCCTGTTGCAAATTCTGGAGAGAAATCAATTTTTTTTCTTCTCGAACTGCTTTTTAAAGAAGAACTTGAAGGTGAGGTTATGTAAGTGGAAGCTGTAGCTATGAGTAGAAGAAAGAGTTAGATTCAATATTCTTTAATTTTTCATCTTTTTTTTGTTAATTTTTGCTTTGGAACAGAACTGTAGTTATATATTTTTCATTCATCCAATTTTTTTTTGCTCTTTAATTTTGTAAACGAGATTACTTCTTTCGTATTCTATTTTCCATAATGTAATTTTTGAAGGTCTGAGATGATTAGTAAATGTTTGATTTACATAAAACTTATTAGTAAGACTCTGAATCTGTTAAACTCTGTTTCTAAAGTATTTTTTTTTTTTATCTATGCGAGAACAATCAGAAGTTAGACGTGATATATAAAAGATACAAAGTTTGGTCGATGGCTGTTTAAATAATTGTCAAAATAGTTAAAAGTACAAAACAGAAATGGAGCTGCGGGGGATCGAACCCCGTGCCTCTCGCATGCAAAGCGAGCGCTCTACCATTTGAGCTACAACCCCAATTGTTCTCATTATTAAAATGTATCAATATATTACATCGCTAATTGCTTTTTATTCTACATGTAGAATGATTTGTATTATTTTAAATTTTTCTAATGTGAATATCCATAACTATTTGAGATTTAAAAAAAAATAAATTATAGTATACTAAATTTAGAATTTTCGGAAACACAGATTTAAATATGGGTAAGCTCTTAGGCAAACTTGAAACTTGGTACCAAATGGAACTTAATTATATATATTTATTTAATTATAAACTTGGTTCATCAAGTCGACTAAAAATCTTTGAATCTATGCATAAAATCTAAAACCCTAAACCATACACATAAAACTATATATTTATATAAATAATTATAGATACAGGGTAGCCATGAATATACACGTATATGTTGGATTATTCCCTCATGTGTTCTGTAAAAATTTATCACGGTAGGAATATGCAGATAATATAATAGGATAAGTGCGATAAAGAACTTTGCATGAAAGTTAAAGCAAATGAATATTAAAAATATATATTTATAAATAAAAAGTATTTTATTAAAAAATAGAAGGTACCTAATTCCCTCAACACATTAACCAGTCATTGTGGAATTCCCTTCGTATATATATTACTCTTGAATTCCATCATTCATTTCCTCTGAATAAACCTTTTATTGAAACAAAACTAATAAATTAGCCTCCAAAATTAGAAAACGAAAAAATAATATTTTCTATTTTTGAATGTATATAATCACATATATAACATGAGAAAACAAATTTAATAGCGTAAATTGTGATAAAAATTTGGATTGGTTGGTCGCATTTGTTCAAACCAATTAAAATCTTCATGTGCAAGACTCCAACCCTTAACTTTTCTAAAGATTCTTCTTTAGAATCCAACTTTAATTACCTCTTTTTCTTTTCTTTTCTTTTTATTTCGGGAATGAAATTCAGTATTTTTATAATTATGTCGAAAAGTAAAGAGTTATTTCTTTTTTAGCATCCCATGCAAAGCACGCATAAAAGAGATTCTCTCGTGACACGTTTCGACTCACTTCTTAACTTTGATTTCTGTCTGAATATCCCCTTTGTCTGTATTAAATATGTTACTCCCGAATATTTTTCGCTCTCCTTTTCCTTATATTCTTCATCTTTATTACATGTTATTCTTTTTGATTTTAAGATAATATATATATTACGGTGATGATCTAGTGATCTTGAAAGAGTATTTTTAAAACTTCAACTCATCTCTATTTTGGAGTAAAATCTTATCTAATCCATCTTTATTTTTAGTTTTAAACCTAGATAACTCCCCGCATTACGTTAAATATTTTTTAGAAATCAAATAAATCAGTAAATTATTATTTTGTGGTTAAAAATTGCTAATGATGTTCAATATAGATTTGAGTTCAATTTTTTGTATATGAATTTTGTTTTTCTTTCGTTTGTTGGCACTAAGTTAATTCCATTTATAACATTGACAATAAGTTCAATTTACAATTCTTTTTGTTTTTGTTTTTTTGTCAACTTCCATTTACAATCTAATTAACAAAAAAAAATTGAATTGTTTTTTGCATCCAATTTTATATCATAATAATCAAGTAAGATTTTGTCTTTTCTAAAAATTTATCTATTTTTATTGATGTTTGTAGTGTCGACTTTGCCGTTAACATATTGCAACTACTATTGTGAGTATAATTTCTTCTATAGCTTGAAAATTGACAATAACACGACATATTGTAATCAATTGTGTTCAATATCAATTTGGTTATCCAATGAATTATTCTATCTGTAAATAATAATATCTAAAATAAAAATATCTACTATGAATAATATTATGAGAAATTTAAAAAAATACCACTTTTCAAATGCCACTTTACAAAATTGCCACACTTTTGAAATCTTTACAGAAATGCCACTTTTTTAAAAATTATTTTTTCTTTATATTATTTATGTTTGGGTTAATTATGTTCTATTAGGGTTTAGTTTTGAGTGTTTATGGGGTTTTAGGTGTCAAAATATTTTTTAGGGTTTAGAATTTTAAGATATAGGATTTATAAATCTATAATTAGTGGCATTTTTGTAAATGGACACTCCTAAGTGGCATTCTTACAAATGTGCACATAAAAATGGTATTTTTGTAATTGCTCCATAATATTATATGGTTTGATTTTGGTTTGTATTTGAATTTTAATAAATATATATCATTTATTCGAATAGGTCTTAGATCAATATTATTTTTTTTAGATTCAATATTAAATTTAGGCATTTATATTTTTCATTTTTTTTAGTATTACGTAAATTGTAAAAATATTCACATTGACATTTTGTTATTTGCTAATAACTTTCTATATAAAATATAAAGTGTACTATAGAAATAGAAATTATTGAGAAAATAGTTTAAAGAGTAGTTATTGGTTAAATAAATATGTACAATTTATATTCATTTGATTTTGTATCATAAGTATAAATTATGTTAAAATTTATTTGTCTGGACATCTTAAATAGAATATTTAATACAAATAAATTATTTAATATTAAAAAACATTAAAGTATATAATCATAAATTTTATAAAAGAAACACAAATTAGATATTTTTTTATTACTTTCGAATTAAATAATGTTTTTGTTACTTTTAAATTGTCTTATGTTAAAAAAATATTTCAAAAGAATAATTATATTTATTGTTATAAATTTGAGAAGTTTTCTTCACAAAAAATATCAATATCTCTTTTAAAAATTTGGTAAGTCTTATTATTAATTACAAAATTAACATATATTCTACAAAAAAATGTTCTAAAATTTTATTATTACCATAAGCAATTTTTAAACTATTTTTAAATTAGAAACAGAAATTTATACATAATTTTATAATGGAAATTGAAAATCTGAAGAAAAAAAATATTGATTAAAATCTTTTGATTTATTAATGGAAACAAATTTAAATTTATTCGTAGAAGATTTTGTTATTGATTCAAAATTTTCTTGTCACTTTTTTTTTTTAAGCTATGTCATAATTTTTTTGGTGAAAGTGATTGTAGAGATGACACGTAAGCATTTTCCTACAAATCATTTCCCAAATAATGTATAAAAGATTGAAAATACTATTTTTACTCTAAAATAGAAGAATGCATTAGAGAGAAATCCACCTTTATTTTAAACTACTCTATTTTAGAATACAGAATAGAAGAATACATAATAAGACTAATTTACGCATAAACTGTTAGCTTCGAACAACCAAAGAATTATGGAACGAATGATCAAAACTTCCAAAGTTTGTTTTTTCATCAACTGGGCTTCAAATTAAACCAAAATTTTTGGTTAACCAACCTCAAATTGAACAGTTTACATATCTAAAATCTACCGAGCGAGATAGAGCACAGTCATATCGATAAATTTGTGACACATATACTAAGATAATTAGATTATATTTTAAAATTTTAATAATTGAACAAAAAGATATAACCTAAACAGTTAACGAATGAGCAAATCATAATTTTTATTTTATTTTGAATGGAACTTTTAATTTTGTTTTTCACATTCAACTCTAAAATTTATTTTCCGATTGAATTTTTCTTATTTTGATTTGGTTGGTGTTTGATTTTACTTTTGAGATACTTTAAAAGGAAAGCCATTTTATCCAAATGATATATTTCAATATTTGGGTTAA